TATAAGCGTTATGCCAATCTACAGGGCACTAAATGGTATAAGCGTTATACCAATCTAAAGACCACTAAATGGTATAAGCGTTATACCAACGTACAGGGGCGTACACAGGATTTTTTTCAAGATGGGGTTTAAAATCTAAAATAGCGCCAAAAATTTTGCAACGACTCATATTTTAAATCATTTTTTTTAAATTCTAAGTTTTTTTTCTTCCCAAAAATAGGATTAAAAAAAAATTGATGCATGATATAAAACAATATACCCCTCAGCAAATTGTACTATCAGAGTGGCCTCTTGCGCATAGTTTTAACCAGAACCTATCAAGACAGTGTATATTTGTATACTACAGAACACTAAATGGTATAAGCGTTATACCAATCTACAGAGCACTAATGGTATAAGCGTTATACCAATCTAAAGACCACTAAATGGATAAGCGTTATACCAATCTAAAGACCACTAAATGATATAAACGTTATACCAATCTACAGAGCACTAAATGGTATAAGCGTTATACCAACCTACAGGGCACTAAATGGTATAAGCGTTATACCAACCTACAGGGCACTAAATGGTATAAGCGTTATACCACTTACAGGGCACTAAATGGTATAAGCGTTATACCAACCTACAGGGCACTAAATGGTGTAAGCGTTATACCAACCTACAGGGCACTAAATGGTATAAGCATTATACCACCTACAGTGCACTAAATGGTATAAGCGTTATGTTAACCAACATGCTTTCAGATATCATGTAGAATTCTTGATACAGTAACAAAATTATAAATTCACCAGTATATATATATCCAGTATATAGTTTTAAAAATCATTGTTTTAAAGCCAAAGTGATATTGATCTACATATGACACTATACAGCATAATCAGATTATTATTGAGATTTTAAGCAATTTAGCCTTGTTTTGGACTGTGATAACGATCATAGATGCTTCAATCATATACTTTTTAACCAAATCCATGACCCCATGCTAACACGTTGTATTATCTTTAAAAGCAACCTGTAAACTGACATCACTGATTTTCGCTAATGTTTTTCTTTCTGTAGAAATATACATTCCAAGTATCTTCAAAAAGCTACATCCCACGTGCAAAACTTTTGGAGATAAATTAATACTCATACAGGAAAAATGTGTTTTAAATTAACAGTTGACAAGGAATATCCTCTGTCTCTGCTCTAATACATACTAGATAAAAACTTGAGCCAAATAAAATATTTCAGAGCAGTTTCAAGGCGAACAAATTATCACATATGTTACACACATGTACCTCAAATTTAATGTACTAATTAAAAGTTCATTCTTTTTTGTAGCAATAATGAAATCAATATCATCATATTGATTATTTTATAACAAATCTGTTTAAACATGATTATTGAAGAAAAAATGAATTTGAGTTGTATGCTTACAATAGAAAAACTAAAATTCCTTTATTTCTATTATTTGTCTTTACAATCACTATTGTCTTGAAAATCCTTGCAGAATTGTGCTTTAAATGAAACCCCTATGTCAGTACGCATACTATGTGGATTATTGCCATCAAATTTGTGGGGGTCCCAACACTATAGAAGGGCTTTAACTAGACCTAATACCCCTCAAAATAAAGCAGAAACCTACTCAAAATAATCCCAATGTTTCTCCCTCAACCCATTCACTATCTGAAGTGGCAGTTTGTCTCCAGTGGTCAGAGTGAAAGGAAGGAGAATTACACTATCCCTTGGAATGGTCTCAACCCAAACCTGCTTCCGGCCACGCTGTCCTGTGACAGCAACCATCATCTTCTTCCACTTTGTTGTCAATGTCCCTGTAAACCATTCTAGTACAAGGCCATCCTCTGTGACCTTGTCCACACGTCCTATCTGTGGCCAGTGTGTGCTATACGCATCCGATGCGTATCTGGATATTTGACTATAACAGGTTTTTTTATAACTAATTTCTTGATAATGTCCTATATGGGCTAAAATTCCTCAATTATTTTTTGTAAAGAGCTTCATTTGTTCTTAGAGAGAACGTAGACCCCCCCCCCCCCCGGGCCTGACATTATCGGGTCAGCCGCTGTGCATTAGCAACTTGACATAAAAACTATGTGACCACATCTTCTTGTAAACGACCGTGTCGGTAATTTTAACAAAGGAGCCCCTTATATTTTCCTCCTCGCTATATATCAATATCAATATCAATAAGATCTGCCCCTGCCTCCCCCCCCCCCTCCCCCCCCCCCCCCCGCTGCCCGCTGTCTATTTTTTTCGACTTTTGTATGAAGGGTTGGTAAAAGTTCGTGCAGATTTTGACAATATCATAAAATCTGATATTCGATCTCTGATTTCTCATATTCTGCACAAATTTATTTATATAAATTATTACCAAATGGACGGCAAAGTTTTTTTACTACAAATCGGTTCAACTAAAAAAAATTATTGTCAAAGGATTCCGGAGATATCGCGATCTAAAAATTCGATTTTTGATCGGCTGCACCTTAACGAGTCGTAAAAACAACGAGACCTAAGTTCACGCACGGGGGTTTACATCTGATTTATCAAAAAATGCGATCCATCAAAAAAAAAAAATTATTATCGTAATTTGCAAGGCAAGATATCATACAATCAGTTGGTACCACTTTTTACTTACAATTTTGAGGAAATCTGCTCTCAAATTGAAAATTTTCAGACCCTTATCGGTAAGTTGATAATTTTTCGGGACGGCCGCAAAAGACTGCAAAATTTGCCGATCTTTTGTCAATATTTTCAAAATTTCATACCCAATTCCAAAGAAAATTTTTTTTCTGGGTTATTTATGTTACTCTTTCCATTGGTGAAATCAGATTTTCGAAATATTACTGATTTTTTAAGATAGCGAACTTTGGTCACACCATGTACCACCATGTAAGTGCTGCATCCTGCGCTGACGTCATCATGCTATATAAGCGTATGCGTAATTTTTGATGCGTAGACTTAACTTTAAGCACATGCATAATCTTACTTTTCCCTGGCCCTGGTATGTGCTGCATCCTGCGCTGACGTCATGCTAATATAAGCGTATGCGTTATTAATGATGCGTAGACTTAACTTTACGCATATGTATAATCTTACTCTTCCCTGGCCCGGGCCGCGCGCCTAGCCCCAGCTAGCTAACTCCGCCCAGCGTCGCATGCACATATGCATGCAGCTAGCAGTGCAGTATTTCCCAAGTGCATGCAGCCGCGAGAACCAGCCCAAAATGCATAGCCTACACTTTTTCGTGCTTCTCCGCTGGACCATATCACAGACAATCTGTATATTTGAATATTAATGTGAACAAGTTTTAACAGGTTGGCATAATAATGCAATACAAAACAAATTTGGATACATCATTATATTTGATATGATTCGAACGGACACGATCATAATTATGGTGATGAGAGTTGTTCGGGGACATGACGGCTAGCTGTGAAGGTCTAGACTCTAATTAACAAGAGTAAAGATTAAAAGGTAGGATACAATTTATCATCATTAATTTCTAGTTTCAAACATTTGAAGTTTTATTGTAGTTTTATGGCTAAGAGAAATCGTCGATTTAAGATCTTTAAAATGTGCGCGGCGTTTGGGACAGCCCCCTTTTTTTTCTTGTCCATGCAGGCAGGTAATTATGAATATAGTCTAGACTCCAAGCCATCTTGATTGTGTGGGTTGTTTTCACTCAAGTTTTCATGAAAATTTAAAATAGATGTGGATTACACTTGCGCGTCACATATTCACTGCTTGAATTAAACCTTTCGCATTTCTTTTTACTTTTTATTTGGACGAATAGGCCTAGATCTACGTATCACTAAACCGAATATGAAGATTTCGTGTTCGTTGCGTTATTTTTTGTTTGTTAGAATCTCACAGTTACAAAATGCGCAGACGTGGGCACTCTCCAAAATACTCGATAAAAGTTATCAATAAAGATGGATCCAACGAGTTTGGCAAATGTTTGGGAAGGGGAATATTTCATCACAGAAAATAAAAATCTTTGAGACCCCTCCCCTTTTACAAAATTGAAATAAATAAACAAAGAACACAAACAGGTGTCAGTTATTGCATTCGCACAGCTATTACGTTCACATTCCGGGTAATTCAAAATTGAGTAAGCTGGTCATGCGATTGCATTGTGAAAGAAACGGTGTGGAATTGATCAGAAGAAAGTTGATCATGTAGCATATAAGTATTGATGTGTAGTGCAAGGCTCTGGAATCATCAACATGATAAAATGATAAGAAATTTGGCCCCGTCTTGGTAAATTTGGCAAGCACTGCACACAGAAACATGTATATGGGTTTACACAACACATGGCATAAAAACAAGGTCCTCATTTTTGAGCTGTTACACGTCATATTTAGAATATGAATGCATCTGAAGAGCCATGTTTTTCAGGGAAGATTTTTTTCTGATGTTCTTCCACACTTGCATAATAACGATGAAAACGCTCACAAAATATTGTTCACCTCTTCCCAGAACTCAACTTTCTCTACAGCTTTAAGTATTACACACACCCTTTTCTTCCATTTGTTATCAGTTAAAACACGATAAGACGTCTGGACTGAGTGGATAAAACTCTCCGCAATGTTTCCAGAGGCCAAAGAAGAGGGTGTCAGTTATTCTCAAGCTCGTCAGCAAACTCATTTTCACAACCCTAATATCCAGTCGGGGAATCAGCAAGTTGGTGTCTCCTCGATCATGGGCACGTACAGGGGCTTAATAATCGGACCACGATTTACGACGTTGCCTGTCCATTTTAGAATCATCATTGCCATCACCGTGTTCTGTTGCTTCTTGGGGATATTTTTCGGAAACATGGGTGAATGGCATCACGGCGTTTTCGGCATCCTGGGCATTTCTTTTATTATCTTCGGAATCGCTGCGATGCTTATCGTCGCCTTTCATCGGTTTCATCGTAGGAATGTCCACGTGAACACAGTGTGGCTTCGGTAGATGGAACCGGAACCCTTGCTGGGACCATGCACCCGAACATGGCGGGGCCCACCGCGACCTTGCAGCAAGGAGCCCCCAACCCATCACAAGCTGGAGGAACTACTTCCTTTGTCGTGAAGACCAGTGGTATGCCGTCTGGATGGGATGCAATGGGAAGGCAAGCCTACCACACACAGCTCCCTGAGAACCCAGTACCAGTAGGCAATAGCACAGCACAGCATCATGCTCATCCTACACAAAAGTAAGTTTGAGCTTGTTGTAAGAAGACTAGGAATATTTATTTTAAAAAGGTCATTAGAAGATTTTTACAATACGCCATTTGAAAATTATTCTAAGAGAGCAAGCGAGAAAGCGAGAGATACACACTGTTTAATGGTTTTGAATTCATTACAGAGTATGCATAGGATTATAGAAAGGAGATGCAGCTATTTTTTTGGGGGGGATGTGGCTGGGTGGGAGGGGGCATAAATGAACAAAATATAAGTATTTTTAAGTATCTACATAATCATTTTAACATCACTTTAGAGCTACAGTTATATCTTGTATGTGTTTTGTCATTATATATCTAATTTCAGCTTTCCGGGAACACCATATCATCCTCCTCCAAACGGGACCCTCCAGTATCCACAACCACCCCCTACCAACCCATCTGCGGCACCCATGGCTTACCCCTCACCAGGAGCCACGCCCCATGTGAACTACCCAGTCATGCCGCCCCCTCCACCAACAGCTGACACCTACCTGGGCATGACCTCGCATGTCTCGGAGGAGCATGGGGTACCCCCACCGCCATCTTATGATGACGTCTTCAGCTCCAGATAGAAATGGCGACTAGGGAAAAACGCAGATTTCCGAGAAGAAGGAATTGTGTCAGACCTGTTTAGTATATACATGGTGGCATTGTCACTCAATTTTTACCATCTTCCTTTTCTCCCCTATCTCTCTCTCTCTCTCTCTCTTTTCTTTCTCTTTCTGGCTGTATTTTTTTGGATTCCTTATTATGTCGAAATCTGTTTCTTTTTGTGTGCCTGATTATATCTTTTCGATGCCCCTCTCTCTTTCTCACTCTCTCTGTTCCTTTCGTTCTCTCTCTCTCTCTCTCTCTCTCTCTTATTGTGTGTTTCTGACATTATCTCTCTCTCTGTCTCTCTTTCTGTGTGTTCCCCTTTCTCTCTCTCTCTCTCTCTCTCTCTCTCTCTCTCTCTCTCTCTTCTGCGTGTTTCTATCATTCTTTCTCATTCATTCTCCCTCCCCTATCTCTCTCTCTCTCTATTTCTCTCTCTTTCTCTTTCTTAGTTCCTTCCTCTCTGTACATCTCACCAAGTTCTTCAACCTCATAACCCCCACTTCCGATATTTTTGCTTCTCTTTCTTTATTCTATGTCTCTCGATCAGTCTGCTCATTTTTTCCCTAGCGCCCTCAAGCCTCCTGTCCCATCTCTGTCTCTTCGACAGTGGGAAATAAATGACGGACAAAATATTTTCAACATGGTCGAGGACTTGTCACAAATGATAATGAATACATTACACATATATATATATATATATATATTACTTTTGCTTTGAATTAACAGACAACACGTAGTTAAAGGTAAAGACCAGTTCTGGTCATGCGATTGCATTGTGAAAGAAACGTTGTGGAATCGATCAGAAAAGGTTGATCATCTAGCATCTAGCATCTGCAAGATTCTGGAATCATCAAAATGATAAGAAATTTGGCCCATTCTTCGTAAAGTTACAAGCACTATACACAGAAAGATGTATATGGAACTACCCTATATCTCTCACAGACCATGAGAGAAACAAATTTACCAAATATATGATATAGTAGGCGGTTTCCCGGCAATTTTTTGATCATAATGTATTAGTCAAAACATATTCTTTCACATGATTGGTAATGAGAGCTTCCATTTCATTTTTTGAAATTGGAGCGTTTCCAATACTGGTCTTTACCTTTAAGAGTTAAATTACAATATTTGAGTAATGGACAATTTATTGAAATCGAAAATATTAAACACTGGAAAAATATACTTCGAAAGTCAGTAGTCGATTACAGTATTTTGTTGGTTAAGTGAAGGCACGTATAAGGATTTCATCAGCACATTTCTTTGCACAACTATATATTGATGCTGCTCTACACAATCTCTGAATTTTTGGTTCATCAATTATTTGTGTTCGTTATTGTTTTCTTTTAGAAGAAATAAAGGTACTTGAATTTAGTGGTTATCTCGATGTTTTTTATTGCTCTTGCCTCCGAGCATAAATAGGTTGACTAGTCCCTATTATCAAAATGGATTCTTTAATGGTCGTGTGTATAGAAACGTTCCCCATTCTCCAACAATGTATTGTATATTTCAAAAGTGTTAAGGGTGATGATTTTTCGTTAAATGTTTTTAGAATAAAATCTACATTCTTACTCTGTCCATGACTTTGAATGTTAACATTATTGAACTTTTGTTATCTTCTTCCTTTTAAACTTTCTCCCCTTATTTGTTAGTGTTCGCCAAATGTATTATTAACCCGTAGCAGTTCTGATTTTTTTTTTCTTCAATTGATCAGTTTCCCTTCCTCAAATTAGCAACAAATTTTATCTTATTTCCACTGTTTCGTAGAGATCATTGCTTCAAAGTTTGAGAAAAGTGTTTCTTAAAAATGTACTATTGTGAAAGTAATTTGCAAAATTTAACCGAAAAAATACCAAGTGTACAAGGACAAAGTGATTCTGTATGTTTCAACACGTCTTGCCAATTCAAATACTTCAATTATCAAAAATTACAATAAAATCGCTCTCTGTTCAGTTTGCGCTTTATATGCTCACGTATAATGTATCATTCTTAGCATTCTGGATTAAAAGATAATGCAAAAACGTCACTGTAAAGAAGAAATATTTCCCAATCCATTTTTAATCGGAATTATGTCTCTTTCTTTCTTTCTCATGTCATTGATATCCTATAAATCAGGGCGTCGCAAGAGGGAATGACACTGGGTGTCACCAGCCCCCCCCCCCCCCCCCACCCTATTAAAATATGTCGGCAAATCTAAAATAAATTTGCTTTTCTTATTTTCTCGCTCGGACAAAATGAAGGCTTTACGCCACTTGGACAACATTAGAGGACGTTAACAACGTTTGAAATAGCCCATAGAGGTCAAGTCCCTGAATATTAATGTAAATAAAGAGTTGGAAACACGCATCATTGCCGGGAATAATAATGACGTCATGCGACGTTTCTGTGCATTCCAATGCAGACAATTAAACTCTGCAAATAGTAAGTTGTGAGTACACATTTGCGGTATAACTATAAGCGTACGGAAAAACTACATTGTACGTTGAATATCCGATACGTGTAATATCTGCATAACGACATAACTACAATGTAGTTGGATTTCAATTCGATATATGAAGATTTTCTTGTCTTTGTCATCTTAAAAGGAGTAAGTATATAATGATATCTTGACTTTTGAATACTAATGGTTTTTAACTTGTTTACATTCCTTCCTAATTACCAAAACAAGAATTCCGATGATAACGGTTTTATTTCTAGAGCAAATGGAATGTTTGAAAAAAACCTGAGAGTACTTGAAGATTCGGTTAATATTTGAATATGTCTTAGACAGAAAAGACTGCTCAGAAAGTCTCGATAGGTCTATTACCCATTTAGTATTCAAATTTATAGTAATATCGACATTTGAGAATAATGTATCCTTTCCTGTCGGAGAAGATATCCAACAGTTCTGGAAAGTCATGGTACTCCGCTGAAATTACCCTGAAGTGCACCAGCTTCTTTGTCCTCATTGTATAAGCAGCAAAAATGTGGTCAATGCCTTCATTTCGATATTCCTCATAAAAACACAAAAGCAATTTAATGTCAAAATCAAATATGTCTCCTTCTTTTGTCGCCGTAAGAACGTCAACCATTTGTACCGGGCTTGATAGTTATGAAGATAAAAGCATTTAAACCTCGTACTATATTTTTATTTATTTTCTGTTTGTTTCTTGTTTATCATCTGCAAAATTAATAGAAAATACAACTGAAGCATAACCCTGTGACACCATGCCTAGAGGAGGACGGCGAGCTGGAGGTGGAAGGCGAGCAGGTCACGGGTTCAGAGGTCACGGCATTGGAGGTCATGGAATCGGAGGTCATGGCATCGGAGGTCGAGGTATCAGAGGGCACCATTTCCACAATCACAATATTCATCATCGGAATAATCTTTTTAACAACCGTAGTCGCCATCATGGCGGCAACTTTCAACATGGCGCTGCCAACTTCGCTATTCACTGGGATAACCAAAATACCGTCTCGGTCACAGGCGGCACTGGCATGGCCGTCGCTCAACCGAGGTCATCCAAAGTCGGTTTCCTCGTAATATTGCCTGTCTTGGGCATGCTATGTTTTGTTATAGGGTTGGTTCTAGGAAATAGAGGATTGTGGATGAACAGTGTTAATGGTATCGTCGGGATATTCGTCATAGGACTTGGTGGTGTGTTTTGGGGTTTGTTCATCCTGATCGCGTGCTGTCTAGGCTTCAACCGTTCAAACACACCATCGCCGACGTTGGAAGCTGGAGCCGCACCTGACCCGAGCTTGACGGTACCTACCGTGTCCTTGCAAGGAGGGGTCACGACCCCTTCACCGGGTCGAGACGATACAGTCTTTGTCATCCAAACAACGGGGTTCTGCCTGGAGGGTACCATATGGCGCCACAAAGTTGCAACATGCATACCACGGTATCAGGCACCACCCAATCTGTCCAACAACTGCTACAAAAGTAAGTTCTACATAATTATTGTTCAAATAAATAGAAACTATTCCCGTATTACAAATAAGGAGCATGGTATAACATGTGACGTCATACATACAGACTGGCTCGGGAGAGGCGGGGGGGGGGGTGGGTTTACACGCCCCCGTCCCATTCACTTAATTTTATTTAAACATTGAATTGTGTGCATCTCATGTGGAATGCCTTAATTTGTATTATGATTTTTTTATTTTTATTACTATTATTTATTATTATAGTAGTAGTAGTAGTAGTAGTAGTATAATTATTGTTATTATTGAATTTATTATTGTTCTCATTATCTCGTTATTAATATTATCATTATCAATATTCTTATTGTCATTATTTTCACTATTGTTTTTGGTTGTTGTTAGTATTACTTTTGTTTTATTATTGTTAATATTATTATTAGAATTGTTGCTATCATAATCATTATTATCATTGTTATTATTAGCTTTATAGGATCACCCACTCCAGCCACCACGGACCTTTGCCTACCCTGAAGCTGCGGCACCGCCCATCACTTACCCGATCGCTCACCCAACACCGCCCGCTGCCAACAAAATAGGCGTGGCCGAACCGGCTCCAAAGTCGGAAAATATACCCCCTCCGCCGTCCTATGATGACGTCGTCACTGGTAAAATGAAATACGACGAGGGAAATGGAAAGACATAGGAGATACAGCGTGATTGTTATATATTTACTTGAATTTGTAAGATTTAATCTAAAAGTGCTACAGGCCCGAAAATAAAATAGTTAGAATGTCTCTCTAATGCTATGTTCTGGTGATTAAAAGGTATAATCGTCAAAAGCATACAGGATTTATTTTTTTGTAGTTGATCCCTGGATTTTCTTTGCTGATATAGTATTTATACCATATTTGTAGTTTATACTAATTTAAAATATGTAAATGTATATGTTTGTCTTAAGCTTATGATGATACCCCCACCGTGTATATTTATTGTCAGTTTCAAAGATATATGATTTGTGTGCGGTCTGTATTTGTAATTATTGATTTAATAATGTTTAGGTTGTGAATAATAGCATTGTTTTTACTATACCGTTCTATCACAATTTTATGTACAAAATTCATTACGTTATGAAGTGCATTTAACAAATGCCTTGTTGTTGTTTTGTATATAACTATTTTCAAAACCTCCTTCCCAGATTTGTTTTAGACCATGCTTAACCCTGAAACATGTTTACTAACTAGAAAGTTAATTAATGCATTATCTTTATATCAATGATAGATAAATGATTGAAATTTAAAAAATTAAACACTGGAAAAAGAATATTTGGAAACTATTCGATTACAGTATTTCATCGGTTAAGTTATTGAGGCTTTACATATTCTCGGGTCTATCGGTTCATTAAAAAATATTATTGTTTTCTTTAGAAGAATTATAAGTACTTGCATTTAGTGGTTATCTTGATTTTTTAATCTTTTATTTATCTCGCCTCTGAGTATAAGATGGTTAATAAGTCTCTGTTATAAAATGGATTCTTTAATTGTAATGAATCATGGAGATGTGTATTGTATAGCAACTTTCCCTTTTCTTCCTATATTGTATTGTATATTTCATACGTGGTAATTGTTTTCGTTATATTTTTTAGAATAAAAATCAAAATTCTTGCTCTATCCCTTATTTTGAAGTCAACATTTGTTAGCTTTTCTGTGATTTGTGCTCTTTCTGCTCACGTATAAAGTGTAATTCGTACATTCTGGATTAAATAAATTCATAAGCCCACCCCCCCCTCCCCACCTCAACGTCCAGCGGTGCCCTTAAAAAAAACGAAAGCAATTTTATGTCCAAATCAAATACGTCTACATATTTTGTCGCCGTCAGAACGTCGACCATTTTGTACCGCAAGGTATGCAGATAGGCATTCAAACCTCGTACTTAATTCGAATTTTACTTTCTGTTTGTATTGTGGAGCTCCACAGAATTCCGAACCCCCTAAAGCTAACAATATAGGAATGACATGAGTATTTATAGCCCCAAAGTACAGTCCCTCATCTTTTATGAAAGGTATTCCCTCCTGCGACAGTGGCTTCACCAACAACTAAATCTAACTACACCAGCCGGGATACCATGAGTGCAGGGGCGTACGCAGGGGGGGTGTTTTGGGGTTCAAACCCCCCCCCCTTTGGTATGTTAATGTTAAAAACCCCCCTAAAAAAACCTAAAACCCCCCCCCCCCCCCCTTTTGGCTTTTTTTTTTAATTTATTTTTTTTATTTAAAAAAAAAAAAAAAAAATTATACCCACGGCTAACCTAAATAAGGTGACCTTACCCCCCCCCCCCCCATAACTACGTAAAAAAAATGTCAATTTTGAAATTTTGAGACCAAATAAAAAAAAGTGTCCGCTTACCCCCCCCCCCCCCCCCCCCCCCCCCCCCCCCCCCCCCCCCCCACTGAGCGACTTTTCTGCCGGCTGAGTCGTTGCGATTTTTTTGGCCTCCAAAAAAAAAAAAAAAATAGTGTCCGCTTAACCCCCCCCCCCCCCCCCCCCCCCCCCACTGAGCGAGTTTTCGGCCGGCGCGATTTTCAAATTTTCGGGAGCAAAATATTTTAAAACCCCCCCCTTGAAAAAATCCTGCGTACGCCCCTGCATGAGTGGCTCCTCACTTTGTTTTTCCACGCAACCCAGTCACCATCTATCTTTGTTGTGTGTTCCTTTCAAGGTAAGAAAGAAACTTATATTATTCAATTGCTGTATATTCATGTTCTTCATAAAATGTGTATAAATTACATATCTTGTAGTATTGTGTAATTAAAGATAATGGTCTTTATCTAATATATATGATATGTTTATATGATACTTTGACGATGGGCGGAAATGTAAGACATGGGAAGATATAATTTCATTGATGACAACATTGTAATTTCTAGTAGTAATGATAAGAAACTATTATCGATGTTTATGTTGTTTGACTTAGGTAACATTTAAGTTATGAAAAAGAATACTTTAAATTATTGCTGTCAGAATATTTGTCTTTTGCTTACAAGTTCATGTGTATATACAGTGAAAGTTGTTTAAGTTTTAGTTTTAATTGTTGTTGGTGACCACCTGTCTAAAAAGACCACATGTTTTGTCTCCCTTGAAAATGGTTTCTCATTGAAACATGTCACGACTACAGAAACTTGTACATAATGACCACCTGCCTATAAAGACCACTTTTATTGTCTCGATCCTTTGAGTGGTCTTTAACGACAGGTTTCACTGTATATTTATATTCTTAGCCAAGGACATGTGGCATTAACTATGTATTATGCCAAAGCAGGTTGTTACATATTCTATATAGTTTTAGTCAGTAACAGTTTGAATGGCGAAATGAGTTGTTCAAGTCCAGATTAACTTTAACTTCCAGTATCATGGTATGAGTGAATGTGGACGCATCATGTGTACAATACTAGTGTGTTATCATGATGTGGCATTGCGAGCAGTATGAACACGAGTTATCATCATGATTCATGATGTATTTGTTTATGAACAGATTATTGATGTACGCCAATGAAGTTTAATAAATACAATACAATCCATCAAGGTTAATATTCCCCACACTTCCGATCAACAATTTTCTACTGGCCACCTGTGCAAGAGAACACATTAACTCCCTCGGTGCGGTGTGGAGAGAGAGAGTGCATGGCACGCACGAGTACTATATGTAGAGTAGGCGTTAGGGATACAATGTGTTAACAAGGGAAAGGTAAACTAGCATCAAAGGACTGTCTAGACTGTGGACCGAGGGCTGAAGGGGAGATTTAAACGTACAATTTGTCCCATTTGCAGGCCAAAAAATGAAAACGTTGAATTCCAACGGTATTTAAAAGACAATACTAATTTAGAACTTCCCTCAAAAATGTAAGGGCTTAAAAATGGTTTTAGTGGGAAAATAACGACCATTATTTTGTCGAATCGGCTTAAGTGATTACAATCACCTAAATAATAGTCTGATTTTCAGACCCTTTTACAGAATGGTCGTACGTTTTGTGCTGCACAAAGATTCAATCAGTTTAATTTTGGCCATTACAAGTAGTGGGTTATTTATGTAGACAAATGCTCATGCACCTGTTACCGCTCATTTTATGTATGTCATCACCAAAGACAAAAACAGATGTCAGTCAGTCACTGAAAATGTCTGACAGTGAAGTCTAGAAACTAAACAGGTTTCCTTGCATAATTTGGATGCTAGGACACTGCTAACGTTTAAATTTCACAGATAGGACATACATGACATATTCATAATTCCTGCAAGGGAAGGGGCATAGTATCTGTCAGACAGGTACTTGCTCCGTGCTAATGGTATCCCCTTGATTTATGAAGGATCTCATCAAGTTCTTTATAAACTGATTGCCCTTTTGACTCTTGCTGGAAGGTGGTATTTTAGGTGGGAAAGAAAAAAAAACTTGGTTTTGGGGGGAACTTAGAGTTGGTTCAGACAGGAGTAGAGACACGGCCTGATTACAAAATGAGAAGACAGTAAAGGGATTGGGTAACTTTGTCTCAGATTCTGAAACAAGATCCTGGATTTAGCTCATGCTGCAATGATAATTATAAACCTTTAGGTCAGTCAGGAGGAACCCCGTGACTTTTACAAGCAGATCGCCTGTCTCATTATCAAGATATTTATGATTGGAAATCGAAATCAAATTGACTGATATCTCAATAAACATTCGTTGGTTCAGTTATTAGTAGCCAGGTAATTTAATGAGATCCTTGAAGGGTGATATTGCGCTTGTTGATAAAGAACGAATGTAAGGAAACTTTCCCAGATGATGTTCTTAGTGATATTCACAGAGAGAGAGAGAGAGAAGACTAACAAATTCATGAGTACAGATAGATTCATTTGTATTTAGTGCTCGAAGAGTATGCATGATTGTGCAATTTAATCAAATATAAATTATGAATTTTTATTGCTAGAATAGAATGATATTTTAGAAGATTAAGAATAAACATAACTTTGTTTTGCCACGCATCCTAGTCATCATCACCTTTTTTTATTGTGTCTTCCTTTAAATAAAGATATGCCCCCTCCCTGGGTCGGCTCTACAGTAGCTTGTTTATCGTCTGCAAAATTAATTACACAAAATAACTGAAGTAAAAGCCTGTGGCGCCATGCATCGGGATGGTCGGAGAGCAGGTCGCCACGCCACTACCACCTTCCGCCCAATTATCTTGGATAACCTAAACTGCGTCCTTTTTGTGTTGCCTGTACTGGGCATATTATGTTTCGTGATAGGTTCGGTTCTAGGATATAGAGGATTTTGGACGAACAGTGCCATTGGTATCATCGGGATACTCGTCATAGGATTGGGAGGAGTGTTTTGGAGTATTTTCATCCTGATCGTGTGTCGTCAAGGCGTGTGGCGTTCAAACCCCGGTTCAAACACACCGGAGCCGACGTTGGAAGCTGGAGCCGCACCTGACCCGGAATTGACGGTACCCAACATGACCTTGCAAGAAGCGGTCACGACTGGAGACGAAACAGTCTTTGTCATCCAAACAAACGGGGTGTTGCCTGGAGGGCGCAGAATGGCGCCACAGAGTTTCAACATGCAAACCACGATATCAGGCAATACCCAAGCTTTCCAAAAAATGCTACGAAAGTAAGTTCTAACTAGATTTTTGTTCAAATAACAAGAAACTATTTACGTGTGACCAAATATGGAGCAAGGTATAACGTGTGACGTCATACGGTACTGGCTCTTGATTGGTTTAACTTTAATGATGTCCAATATCAACGAAAGATATGATTGTATGCGTCTCTGCGAACGGGGGGGGGGGAGGGGGGGGAGGGGGAGGTATTAATTGAGTTGTACCTTTTTTTGAAATTCTCCTTTTCCCTTTTACTTTTAACTTTTATTTTCTCATGTTGGTAAAACTAAACATAGGGAGGGGCTGCACATCCCCCCCCCCCCCGTTCAAGCACGAACCATTATTGAAACATTTGTTGAATGTCTTTAATATTATCAATGTTATTATTATTATTATTGTTATTAGTACTATTGTTATCATCAATACTATTATCATTATTGTCATTATCATCATTGTTATTATTATTATTTTCATTATCATTATCATTATCATTATTAATATTATTATTATTAACATAAGCTTTACAGGAGCAGCCATTCCAGCCACCACAGACCCTATGCCTAACCCTGAAGCTAAGGCACCGCCCTTTACCTACCCGGTCGTTCATCCTCCTCCACCTGCCGCTAATCGTATGGGCGTGGTCGAACCGTCTCCAGGGGTGGAAGATTTACCCTCTCCGCCGTCTCCTGAAGACGTCATCACTTGGAGAGTGAATCTCGACAAGGAAAATGGAAAGATATAGGAAATGTATATACAGCGCGATTATTTTCTTTACTTTAATTTGTGAGTTTTAAACTAAATATAGTGTCATCTATAGACCGCTTATAAAGTCGTTTTTCTGTCTTTTTCTTCCTCCGTTATTATAATTAAAAAGCATAATCGTCAACACGACACAAGCTTTTTTTGTGATTACGTTTTTTAGTTGACCCCTCTATTTTCCTTTGCTGATAAAGCATTTATACTATTGCAGTTTATACCTATTTTATTAAAGTATGTTAATGTTTTATGTATTTTAAAAGTTTGTGGTAATACTCCATCCGTGTTTATTATTGTCAGTTTTATAATTATAGAATATGTATATTGTTTGCTGTCTGTATTTGTACCTAATGTTTTAATAATATTTATTTTATGAACATTGATTTTGTTGTTTATTCCGAGTGAATCACAGTTTTATGTACAAACTTGAATATGTCATGACGCGCCTTGTAAAAATGTCTAGTTGTTGTATAAACTATTGTCAGAAACTCTTTCACGGATTTTTTCAAGGACAGGCTTTGCCTAAAACGTGTAAACTGAGTATAAATTAAATGAATGTAAATCTTCTCTTAACAATTAACTTGAAACTTGAAATTCAAAGTTACTAATCATTATTTGCAATATGCGGACCATTGTCATTGATTCAACCGGTGTTACGTTCCGATCTTCGGATACACTCTCCGATATCGATTTATAGTCTATTCTTAACGCTCTTTAGAGATCACGTAACAAAGGAATGAAAATATCGATTATCATCTCCATAAGACATTGTTCAAAATTACACTAAGATCGCCCTACACGTAAAAGGCAAGCCGCCCCGTTGACCACAACATTATAATTGCTGTATGTACGCTGCGTGACTGTTTGCTTTCTTGTTGTTTTGAAATCCTCATACTGTGGTCATCTGTTGAACGAACAGTGCCAGCTTTGGACTAATTTCACTCAATTACAGATATATTATCAAAAGAATCGAAACGCATCTATAAATGTGAAATATCTACAGAGAGAGAAATAATACGACCTCTTTAGATTTAGCATTACACTTAGGACCTAGCCTTCGACGCAAGTATGATGGTGAACGAGTGAATGGGCGAGGATACGTCCATAATATCAGTTTATCATCTCAGAGTACTTTTGTATACTTCTTCTGTCGGAATCGTAAGACAGTAATTTACGGGGGATATATTCTACTGCCTAACCCAATATAGATGTGATACATCGCGGATGATCGTATTTCCGTTGGTGAGTACATGGTTTGTAATGTATTATGTATATTGTCTCGAATGGGGGTGTTTATTTACATTCAAGCAATAAAACTAAGCTGTGAGAACAAACTCCATGTTTTCTCCACAGTACAATCCTTTTCTATTTATCATTTAAAACGCTTTTTACAGTTTCTCTGGCAAATTTTTGTCTCGATGTTTAGCTCCTGATTTACAATAAATCTGTTTTTTCCTCTTTCAAATACGTATCTTAGTTTGAAACGGTATTTATTGAAACCATACTTTACTATTCAGGAAGATTTACATTTTGTATATATATACGTACACTAGAATGCGATAGTTATTACAACGTCCTTTCCTCTGCCAGTATCTATTTTTGTTCTGTTCACATTCAATAAACATTATGTACATGTACTATGTCATCTATGACGTGGCACTGGAGGCAGTATCTGTCGTCTGCTAATCCTCATTTGTAAAGATTCCTGACAGGTAGTATATATTACAGCAATTTAACATTTAGCTCTCTTAAAGCGTTGTTCCCTAGTAAACGTTAAATTCCTTTTGAACACGGAATACCAGTAAATGTTTCTTTGTAGTATATTTTGTAGAAATGTTTGCTGCTTTAATACGTTACTGATAATAGAAAAGACACTCCTCCAAATTTAAAATTTTAAGAGAGTGAATACGATCTACTGGTTCAGAATTTTCAATTGTAAATTCACTGAACCATATCTTTTGAATAGCTTTCTTCAGTTTAGTATAATCGAATAAAAGCTGTTATTTGCATTTCCTTGGTTCAAGGCGTACTGACGGGTCTTAACAGACAAAAAGTGTCCTTCTTCAAAGCGGTCATTTAGAAAACAAAGTAAAACGTAAAACAAAGACTTCGTATTCAAAACAATAATTATATTATGTCATATCTTTAGCTTTATATGTAAACAATTATCTTGTACACGAACATTTTTATTACCAGTAAAACTTATCACTTAATTGCAGGCGTTAAAGCCCTACTGCACTACTTATAGCTACTTGCGCCCTCTTTACAACAAACAATGCCTAATCGGTGCCTGTTGGTAATTGAGAGCTGATTTAATGAGATAACCACCTGCCAGTGATGATCCCCCTGGCAAAACTAGTGCAGATGGGCTTTAAGACAATTAATAGTCATTCTTCCAAATAATGTGACGTTTCTGCTTTTCCAATTATCTAGGAGTTTCTGTAGTTTAGTCATTTTCCCGACTCTAGTTTTTTTCATAGTACAAGTCTGCAGATACAGAACATTTCCCAAGTGTTGATCAAAGGGGATCAGAGTCGGAGAGTGACCACGTTTTCTTGTCCTCTCCAATAAGAAGAAAACAATGTTTTCTTTATTTAAATTCGGGCCTGCGACTTTTCCAAATAAATCTAATATAATTATTCATCTAAAATATTTTGTAAGGAGTTTTTGTTTTTAAGAAAGAATAAGGTTTTGTTAGCAAAAAGTATTGTTATATTGAATGGTGATGATGATTATGATGATGTGGATGGTGCTCATTATGATAATCACGATAATGCTAAAAGTAACGATATTGATATTGATAATGATAGTGATAATGATGACGACCACGACGTTAATGGTGGATAATGATGATGTTGATGATGGTGTTGCTGTTGTCGGTGATGGTGTTGCTGATGTCGATGGTGGTGTTGCTGTTGTTGGTGATGGTGTTGCTGTTGTTGGTGATAGTGTTGCTGATGTTGATGATGATGTTGCTGATGTTGATGATGGTGTTGCTGTTGTTGGTGATGGTGTTGCTGTTGTTGGTGATGGTGTTGCTGTTGTCGGTGATGGTGTTGCTGATGTTGATGGTGGTGTTGCTGTTGTTCGTGATGGTGTTGCTGTTGTTGGTGATAGTGTTGCTGATGTTGGTGATGGTGTTGCTGTTGTTGGTGATGGTGTTGCTGTTGTTGGTGATGGTGTTGCTGTTGTCGGTGATGGTGTTGCTGATGTTGATGGTGGTGTTGCTGTTGTTCGTGATGATGTTGCTGATGTTGATGATGGTGTTGCTGATGTTGGTGATGGTGTTGCTGTTGTTGGTGATGGTGTTGCTGTTGTTGGTGATAGTGTTGCTGATGTTGATGGTGGTGTTGCTGTTGTTGGTGATGATGTTGCTGTTGTTGGTGATAGTGTTGCTGATGTTGATGATGGTGTTGCTGTTGTTGGTGATGGTGTTGCTGTTGTCGGTGATGGTGTTGCTGATGTTGATGATGGTGTTGCTGATGTTGATGATGGTATTGATGTTGTCGGTGATGGTGTTGCTGATGTTGATGATGGTGTTGCTGATGTTGATGATGGTGTTGCTGATGTTGATGACGGTGTTGCTGTTGTTGGTGATGGTGTTGCTGTTGTTGGTGATGGTAATGACGTTGGTAAAGATGGTGATAATGGTGATAATATAATGATGATGATAATGAAAATTGACATGGAAGAGACAGTGAAGTATACAACAAATATATTCGATCTATAGGTCAGTGATGGTCGCCAGATATTACGCCTTCGCTTCAGTTATTTGCTACCTATAGTGACGTGTTGTGATCATGGCAAAAGAGGATGGAAAAGAATTGAAATGGTTGCTACGAGCAACATTACATCAAGATATTTCTATTTCTTGTTATTTTATGTTTCCTTCTTGTACAGAAGCGGACACGATGAGACGAACATAACGTGGAGAAATTTTGAAGTATCTGTGAATCGAAGACCGAACAAGAACTTCGAATGGCACGGATGATCTCACAGTCAACTGAGAAGAGAATTATTCACTAAAACTTCAAAGCGGTGACTACTTGACTAGCTTGCGTCATCTTGTTTAACTCGGTGAAAAATAAGATGGGAAAACATGAATATAGAGGGGTCCGTGCCCAACGGGCCCTCAATCTCGCAGCCGCCAGACGTGAAGACAGAGATAAAATAAAGCGTGTGAAATATGGCTACTCCGACCCCGGTCAACCGGAGTTCTACCCGCGGTCACTCGCTCGCCCGACAACAGCGCGCCCTCAGAGCGCAGGACTCGCGATGCGTCGTGCAGAGGCGAGTGATATAGGTTTGGATATGGGACCAACCCCTGACAAGCCGAAGGTGACGGTTAGGGCAAAGACCTGGCAGTATCTTCATACGTGCATTGGTGTCATGGCTGCAATAATGGTCGGCATCGGACTCCTAGTCGGTGTCACCGCCCACTGGACGACAAGCAGGGCTGGACAAGCGGGGATCGGCCTCATATGCGGCGGTGTCGGCATGGTTCTTGGCGTGGTCATCTTCGCTTTCATACGACTCAAGCACTCCAAGATGAAAGACAAGAGAAGGGAGAAAAAGAAGGTTAAGGCTGATCTGGAAGCCGGTCAGAAGGACGGGAAAAGGATTCAATTTAAAACGGAAGGCACAGCCCAGGATGTTCCAATGAGGCCGATGTCAAGCAGAAAGAAGAGAAAGAAGAGGACTGAGCACGAGACGGAGAAGGAGAAGGAAGACACAAATTCATATGAGGAAAGGTAAGCAAGACATCATGAGCTTCAATAATATCTTTACACACTCAATGCTTTTTTTCAGGCGGGGGGGGGGGGGGGTAAACGGATAGTTTAGACTGAGTTGGAGAAAGGGTGTTCTATCACATAATTATGCCAATGACTGGATAAAGTTAGTCCAGTAACTGCTCGTCATCACTGTACTGACTGTAAATTGACAAACTTCCATGTGTACATTGTAATGTATTAACCCTATCATTTGGCTAGTATCTAAAGAAGTAGTTAAACACTATTGTTTGTCTATTATCTGAAGACGCCTGCACTAAGAACTGGCTCAAAATATGAACATAATATTTTAGTAGAAAATTTATCCTCTTTTATCTTTTTCTGGTTTTTTTCTCTTCATTTTGTAGAAAGTTTAAACGAAACGAATTATCGCGGAATCATGGGAAAATCTTCACTACTTATTTAAACCTCTTTTTCATCTCAATCTCCTTCTCTTTCCATTTCCCTTTCACTCCCTGTAATCCACATGATCTATTTCAAATCATTTACTAGCTTTCTCCATCAAATTCCCCCTTTCCTGTCAATTTCTCTCTTTCAACCTCATCTCTCTCTCTCTCTCTCTCTCCCTCTCTCTGTTGATCGAGACTCATGACGACGTTTAATGTCACATACCTCTTCTTACACCTTCCATGACAGCGTGGCAAACGACGAGACGACGGCGGACACGACGTCGGACACGGCCGGCATCGTTCCCCGATCAGTGAGCCGGACCAGCATGAACCTCCAGGGTTCCATCAACATGAGCGCCATCCCGGAAGACCAGGAGGAGGAGGAGAACGACAAGGCGTCATCTGCGAAAGCGACCATGGAGAGCAAAGACATGGACAGTGATAGCATACCGGGTGTCATTGTGGCTTCGGGTGAAGACACCTAGTTGATCTTCAGGTCATGTTCCTGAATACAACGCCAAGTCAATACAGAAAACTTGTGGTGTATTGGTAAAGACTGGTGACTCTCATACGAGATGTTCTGCGTTCGATCCTTTGATCGATGCTTACCATATTAAACAAGCTGTTTCTCCCTCCCTGACCTCCTGACCAAGGTGTAAATTACTGGGCAGTGTTTGGGTAAAATTGCAGGGCCCACAAGAAAAACAGTATCAATGCTGATGAGGCTTCCCTGTTAAATATGATTAGTATAATCCTTTGTTATAATTACCCAAAAAGTTATCATAAATATAAGTTTTCTTATTCAAAAATATATATATACACAGACTTCGCCAATCACAGACACCCACACCGACAAAACAAATATATACCCTAATATCAGAGCTTTTGAAAAGCAAGCGCTTGAATACACGGTTCGGATAAGAGTTAGAGCCTATTATACAACACCTACGTGGATCGTTGTTATTTGATTGGAGGATTGTTGGTCACATGATATTCAATATATATATTGCACGGGCGTGCCTTTTTGGTTATATGCAGACTGCGTACCTAGTATACCTCTCTGCCGTGCGCGTATCCCTAGGCCCTGTGTGTAACTGACGCGAAGGCAATCTGAATGTAGGCCTATGTAATCGAGAAGGCTTAACTCCAATTTTAATAAATATAAGGAGTAAAGCATAATTTGTTGATTAAGGTTCTATTACATCTTCTTTGATGTTGTATAAAAAAAATAATGAATGTTTTTCATTCGTTCAATATTGCAAACATTTTCAATCGTTGAAAGATTAACGTTAATTCTATTCAACTCGGCTGACGCCTCGTTGAATAGAATGTTAATCTTTCAACTCAATGAAAATATTCGCACTATTGAACTCATAACCATTCATTATTTGTATACTATACATAGAGTTTGGCCAACTTGGTTCCGTTAGTCACAACATAAATGCGTAAATTCTTTAGTTTTGTTTCATGCTAAATCCCAACGAATCAGTACATGCCACATTGTGCCCACCTCGAATCTGTTTCACTAAACCCTCCTAATCAATGGCACTAATACGCGTATTTGTATGGCGCCATCTACTTTGAAAGTCAACAGAAATGTTTCTATTCTGAGTTTAGCTAAGCCATACGTAGCAACAGGTAAATAATTTTTTGTTTTATTTTTAGACAGTGGTCATGATGCTGTGCAGTACTAGCCTGCGACTGAAATTCCTGCCCATTCATGTGCGAAAAGCATGGGTAATAGGGACATTTCCTTGTATATATTATGTTACATGAACTTAAATCCTGTTTTTAGAAATTTTTTATTTCAAAAGTGTGGTTCCCTTTTCATTGAGACGCTTTATGTGTGTGAATAACATGTGATCCTCATCGGCCAGGATTTCGACTTTCCACTATTTATCAACATAGCGTTTACTGCTATTATGGAAGCCTAGGTCTTTAGGGAATGTTATCTCTAGATCATCTCGCATCGTTGGTTAATTTATTCACCTAGCGACACTACTTTTACCAATCGAGCTAGAGAGTTCAGAAATGCCGTGTGTCGACACAATGTACGTATATGCCCTCTTTTGGTTGCATGCAAATGAGAATAGCGACAAAATTAATGTTCTTAGGGTTATATCAGATTGCTAGGTCGATCTTACATGTAGGTAAAAAGTCATGTTCTTGATTTTTTTTTTGACGAATTCCTGCCAAATGGAAAGAGAGTGCTACTTTAATTGACTTTTTAAACTGCCAAATTGGAGGAAAGAAATGCAATCATATACTGTACAATATTGTAAATAAAATATAATTCCTAATGAACACAGACTACTTTCGTAATTTAATGAGAGTCGTGTCGTCTAATGGATAACGCAGTGTTTTACCACACCATGGTTGGGGGAGAGAGAGAAAGGGGGAGGGAGATATTAAGATAGATATAGAGATACGAAGAGAAAGAGGGATGACGAGGGCAGAAGAGAGGGAAGGGTAGATAGAAAGAGAGAGAGAGAGAGAGAGAGAGAGAGAGAGAGAGAAAGAGATGGTTGAGAGAAAGGGAGAGAGAGAGAGACAGATAAACAGACAGAAGGTTGGGGCTTTTTTACACTGGGGGTTTGAGGGATGCCCCGCCATTCCAAAATTGAAAATTGTCTGCCATATCTGACAAGCAAGGAGAAGAATAAATATCCTCACATTAATTTGTTGGACTGCCTTTCCAATGCTTGCAGCTCCCCTAACCCGGCAAACGTGGCCCTTTGCATCACACACTGGCTTTTATACAGATTGAAAATCTGATCTACCAACCATTCAATGTAAACAAATTTTTCATACAATATCTGGTGTTGTCATGATTTTGTGTTCGCTGAACCATCCCTACCCCGGCCATTGTCTGCGCTCACCATAAAAACATTTTCAAGGACCTGCATTACATAGTTGAGCGAGTAGAATGCCCATATACTCAACATTGATATGCATGTACACATATATCTAAGAAATGTGTACGGTTTTCGATACATGTATAGCTACCGTCGACGATACAGATTGCAGTTTGTCTTTTCATTGATTCTTCATCAGCGATTGTTTTCTTGCATTATACGATGTTTAGACATGTTTTAACTTTCTAGTAAACATTGAGACCATCTCTAGCATGATGGACTGATGAGACAGATATGAGGTAAATGGTAAAAGCTGATTAGATCCGAAAGTCAGTTACTCGCATTACAATCAAACCTGTACTTATGGACGAGGCAAGGGAAAAGTACCCACATGACGTCGCTTTGATCCACTGTGACTAAACTCCGACTAATGCAACAATGGCTCCCAAGGATGTGACGGACGAGTCTAATGCAAAAATGGTTTCCAACGATGTAACGGACATTGAATTAAGGGAAATCGCCGAGGAGATAGGGCACGGAATAGACCGACTTGGTGTCCATCTAGGCCACAGTTGGTCCAAGGTTCGGCTCTACCAGTTACGTAATTGTCTGACATTGTCTGTATCTGGCACGATGGAAATGCTACATTCTTGGAGGAGGATGCAATCCACCAGGAATAAGAGAGAGGTTTTGGTGAACAGTCTCAAACATTCCAACCTGGACGAACTCGCCGAGAGAGTGCAGAAAGGTAATTCGTTTATACAGCTTTCCTGCTGCAAGAGAACGTTGGAAATCTAAGTTGGGAGACCTTTTATAGATCACGTCGCTTTAGGTAGTGAAATCCACTCTCTCTCAAAAAAAAAATGAAACTACTAATTTGGTCATGTTGGTGTTTATTCAACTCTGCATTTAAGGTAATACAAAATGTTGGTATGGGATCATAAATTTGGTTAAAATGAACATATTGGAAGCATATGCGATCCTACAATATTCAGAGATCGTTGTCGCAGTTGAAATCGAGTCTAAAGTTATGAAATTGTAAATAATAAACTCTTCATGTTGTATAGCTCCCTCTCAAGGTCAAGATATCAATTAACCTATCCATTTTGGACTATGGGAGTGAAATGTATGATTCTGCTTGTATATCTTTAACAAAAAAACTTGACTCTATCCAATACAGAGCCTTAAAAATTATTACAGGCACAATACACAATGTGTCCTTGGAGGCTTTACAAGTTTTGACCGGGGAGCTGCCTCTGAGATATCGTAGGAGGTTGTTAAATGATAACTTTCGAGTTTATTTACTGTCTAGTACTTTAAACCACCCAACAAAAGAAGTATTGGGTGATGACTATGATTTAAATAACTTAGAATGGAAGATAGGAGAAGGACCTTTTAAACTGCGATCCTTTAGAGACGAAGTAGTGGTGGAAGGGCAAACCAACTTATTGCCGAAAATCCCAGAATGGCGGTTAGCACGACCACAAGTGTCTTTCGAACACCATGGCAAAGTGCAAAAAAAGGAAATGCCTCCATTTGAAATAAAATCGATTGTTCTAGATAGCATTGGAAATTCATGGAATGGGTTTTTACATATATATACAGATGGTTCTAAACTCAAGGATGGGAAGACAGGAGCCGCATTTTATGTGTCTCATTATAATGTGGTGAAATTTTTTAGATTATCCCATGTCTGTATTATGAGAGCAGAACTAGTGGCCATACTAATGGCACTAGAGTGGATTAATACATTTATTGAATCCTCTTCGGTGGTAATTTTTAGCGACGCTTTGTCAGCTTTACAAATGATCGATTCATACTTTATTAGATGTGCTATTGTAAATGAAATTTTATCCATAATTAATATTTTGCAGTTTAAGGATGTTTGTGTTGCTTTTGAATGGATTCCGTCACATTGCGATATTAGGGGCAATGAGATCGTAGATCGGGCTGCCAAAAAAGGAGCCATGAAAAGGTGTATAGACATAGTTATACCAAATACAAGAAGTGAATTGGCAGCCTCTCGTTTGATCCATTATAACAAATTATGGCAAGCAGAATGGGACAATGCAGAACACGGTAGATTTTTAAATGCTTTGCATAGCGACGTTTCAAAGCCCATACATAGACAAGGCCTATCTCGCAGAAAAGAATGCTTGATACAACAACTAAGAGTAGGTAACTGTAGTTTAAATTATTACCTTTTTCAAATTAACCAACACGATACTGGTCTTTGTGAAGTTTGTCAAGAAGATGAAACAATTAAACATTTTATTTTCTATTGTACAAAATACGACAAAGATAGACGTCTCTTAAAAGAAAGGATTAAATTGAACAACCCCAATCTGAAACAATTATTGATGTCTAACCCAATTTTTACTCGTGAATTATTGGGTTACATATACGATACTAATCGTTTTAGATAGCTTTTAAAGCTATCAGGGATCCCCTTAACTTATGTCGATCCTGTAATAATATATAAAATGAAGTATTTGCGGTTTTTCCATGAACAATTGCAACTAACTCCCATCTCGCCTTTTATGTGCATTTTATGCAATTTTAATATTGCAGCTTTTTTTTTTTTTTTTTTTTTTTTTTTTTTTTTATAAAACCATATCACTATTAATTTCATTTCACCAAGGAAAGTCGCTCGTGGGCTTGATTTCCGAAGCCCACGCCAAAGCTATACACGAAATTGACTGGCGCAAATAATCTTTCAGATTGAAGAGCGCCATCTAAACGAAGAACCAACCAACCAACCTATAGAACATTTTTTCTTGACTAAAATCGACCGATTAGCTATTCCCGTTTATAAATTATATATCACAACTACATATTCTGAGATTTTCGTGGTCGCAGCTACCATTGTACGGCTGTAGGCGCTATTTGAAATTCATCAACATTTTCTGGGAGAACCGGTAAATTTTTATATTCAATTTTTCTCAAAAGCAGAAATGTTTTAGGGGGTAAATTTTCTAATGCTTATAATACATCCACAGGGGCATCCAAATAAATCAAATTTGTGAAGAATCACTATCCGACCAATTTTCAAAATTTCCCAAAACTTTGTATTACCTTTAAGTTAAGAGTACTCAAGACATATGTGAACATAAAAGTACATTTGCACGATACCCATACCAGAATATTGCCTCTTT